TTCTAATCCATGAATATGAAATGTTTCATTTTTTTGTGTTCTCTTTAATTCCTTTCATAAGTGTTTTGTAGTTTGCATTGCAGTATTTTGTAGTTTTCACCTCCTTGGTTAAATTTATTCTTAGTTTTGTTTTTGTTTTTTTTTTTGTTTGTTTGTTTGTTTTTTTTGGTAGCCATTGTAAATAAGCTTGCTCTCTTGATTTCTTTTTCAGCTGGTTTGTTGTTGATGTATAGAAACCCTGCTGTTTTTGTATATTGGTTTTATATCCTACTACAACTTTACTGAATTTGTTTATTAGTTCCAAGAGTGTTTTGGTGGAGTCTTCAGGTTTCTCTATATGTAATATTATGTAGTCTGCAAACAGGGACAATTTGACTTCCTCTTTTCCAATTTGGATGCCCTTTACTTGTTTCTCTTGCCTAGTTGCTCTGGCTAGGGCTTCCAGTACTATGTTGAATAAGAGTGGTAAGAATGGGCATCCTTGTCTTGTTCCTGTTCTTAGAGGAAAAGCTTTCAACTTTTCCCCATTCAGGATGATGTTAGCTGTGGGTTTGTCACAAGTGACCTTTATTGTATTGAAGTATTTTTCTTCTATACCTAATTTGTTGAGAGTTTTTATCATAAAGGGATGTTGAATTTTATCAAATGCTTTTTCTTGTAAGAGTAAGCTTTGTTTTAAGGTTCATGGAAGTTTTGTCTGTGCTGAGATGATCTTGTCTCTATAGCAACCAGGGATTTTAGGTTCTGTTGTCATAAAGACCCAGTAATTCCCAGGCCAGTTTGCATCATACTGCTGAGTGACATATAGTGTAGAACTTGTGAGGTGTTTGAGTAGGCCTTGTATTAATCTTTTACCTGTGATGTATCTCTTACAGTATACTACAGGTGTCTTAAGGTGGAAAGTTAGGTTATTCATTTGGGATCTTTCTTCATTTTTCATGTAGGTGTTTACAGCTGTAAATTTCTCTCTAGGTACTGTTTTAACTGAGTACCATATGCTTTGGTATGTTGTGTCTTCAATTACATTCATCTCAAAGTACTTTTTTTTAATTTCCCTTGTGTTTTTTCCTTGACTCATTGGTTGTTTAGGAGTGTGTTAGTTTCCACAAATTTGTAAATTTCCCAAATTTCTAACTTTCTTCTATCATGTTCGGAGAACATGCTTTGTATGATTTAAATCTATTTAAGTTTATTGAGGCTTGTTTTATAATCTATGTTTTATCTTGGAGAATGTTCTATGTGTACTTGAGAATATATATTCTGTTGTTGGGTAGATCATTCCATTTATATATGTTAGGTTTAGTTGGTTTATAGTATTGTCCAAATCTTCTAGTTTTTTGTTCATTTTATTCCTGATTGTTCCTTCCTTTATTTAATGTGGGATATTCAGGTGTTTACCTGTTCATAGTTGAATTGTCTGTTTCCCTCTTCATTCCTGTCAGATTGTTCTTAGCGTATTGGGGGGATCTGTTGTTACTTGCATATTCATTTATAATTGTTATAATGGATTGACCCTTTAAATATTATAAAATAACCCTCTTTATCTCTAGTTACATTTTATGTTTTAAAATATATTTTGTCTGATATTAGTATAGCCACACTCTTGCTTTCTTATGGTTGCTGTTTGCATGATATCTTTTTCTATCCTTTTACTTTCAACCTGTTTTTATAAGTAAATCTAAAATAGTTTCCTGTAGATAGCATTTAGTTGGATCTTATTCTTATCCAGTGTGACAATCTCTGCCTTTGATTGTATTCACACTTAATGAGACTATTGATATAGATGGATTTACATCTACCATTTTACTTTTTTTCTATGTCTCATTTCTTTTGTGTTCCTCTATTCTTCCTTTACAACTTTGTTTTGTAAGTGAATATTTTCTAGTGTAACATTTTAATTCCAGTAATGACTTTTCACTCAATATTTTTGAGTTATTTTCTTAGTATTTGTTTTAGGGCATATACATCTTAATTTATCAGAATCTACCTATGATTTATACTAACTTAATTCTAGTGAGCTATAGAAATATTACTCCTGTATAGCTGTATTCCCCTTTCCCCCTTTTTGTGCTATTATTGTGATGCATGTTACATCTGTATAGGTTACAAATCCAAAGACATATTGTTATAATTATTTTATATAATTGCATGTCTTCTGAAAAAGCTCAAAGAAGAGCAAGTATATATTTATAGCTTTTGTCACAGTAACCTTTACATTTACCATTTATTTTCATTTTTTTAAATAAGACCTTCCTCAACTACATCCAAACAATGTCAACCACAAAGATGGAGACAAGGCTCTGTGTGTGGTTTTTAGATTGTGCATGGCACACTGCAGTGTATTTGTATGTATATTTTGACAATTTATTGGCAGATGACCAAAAGTGCCTTGTTCTAATAATTTTAGTATGTTATAACAATTTTCTACTAGCTGGAAGTGAAGTATCTAGAAGAGGAACTTTTTTTTTTTTTTTTTTTTTCTTTTTGTCTGTTTTCGTGACCGGCCACGGATTGCAACCCTCAGTGTCGCGCCCGTAACGGACCAGGACCGGCAACGGGATCGCACCTCTTGGTGCTGCGCCCGCACCTCGCTCAGCCAGTGAGCGGCCGGCCCGCATGTGGGATCCTAACCCTCAGCGGGAGCGCCGCCGCGCTCCCAAGCAGCGCACTGTAGCAGTGCGCCACCGGGCTGGCCCGAAGAGGAACTCTTCTAAATCATACCAAAGTGGCATATGATCTCTAGCGGCAGCCCCTTAAAGATCTGGAAATAAGAGGCTGTGTAGTGCTCTGGCCTCAACCCAGTCAAAAGAGAACCAGCAAAAAAAAAAAAAAAAAGAGTACATTTGATTCCGATGCCTCCCCTTAAACAAGCCTCTTTAACATTTAACTCGCCTCAGCCATCCAGTTTTCCCAGACAAATCGCCATATGGGTAAGCCACAGAGGTTAGGAAGTAGAACCTGCCTTGATTTTAGCTCTTCTTCTGTGCCAGAGCATGGATCTAAAAAGTGGTAAACGGGGCAAGAGGTCCTACCACACTTGGGCACTGACCATGACATGGTGATCTCACACATGGGTAAAGCCCAGTGGGTCCCAGGCTCTGAGCAACCAGGCGAGCCATCCTTTCTCTTCCCACACTCACCAGCTTATTTTTCTTAGCCCATTATTCAACCACGGGTGTGATTGTTCTTCTCAGACAGGAGGCCAGAGCAGCGTATCAAAAGGATTCTGCTCCCACTGAGGAGAGACTTCTTTCTCAGCACTTTCCATAGCTCTTTGTGTATCTTCCCAAGGATGGTGAGGTGGAGAAGTGCAGCTTTTGTAATCTAAAACATCAGAAATAGGGCCTAATGCGGCAGGATATTAAATTACTAAAAGGCATTCTATGGCATCAAAAGCATCCAGAAAGGTTTATAACAGATGAGCTATAAATGTTATTTCTTTATCTTTTCATTTTGCTGGGAGCATGACACCTTGCAAGTTGTAGGCTGTTCATTATTTATCAAATTAGATTATTTTGTATCCCTATTCTTTCATTACTATTTTATTTTTGTGCTCTCCTGAAGGTCAGTAATTTACAGTTCTGTCCAATGGAACTTCTTATCTCCACTGTCCAACATGAGAGCCAATAGTCACATGGACCTATTGAGTATTTGAGGAACTGAATTTTTAAATTTTTGTTCATTTATATTTAATTTTAAATAGCCTCAGCTAGAGGCGCTCAGATTGGATAGTGATGTTATCATGTCAGACATCCCCTTTCTTAATACTGTGTGATTAAAAATTGTAAGGTAGATTAAAGGCAAGAGCCCCAAAATCAATGCTGATATTTTCATGTATGATAAAACTCATGGGACAGGCCGCAGGAATATTTTTTGAAGAAGTCGACATATATCTTCCATCAGCCTTCTGAAAACTCAAATACAGATAGACAAAGATCTGGTACAAACACACCTGTGTTGGGGGCCACAGCCAAGAAGCAGGAAGGGCACAGAGTCCCTGGAATCTGCTTAGTCCACAAAGGAGGCCCCGGACCCTGCACTTTCACTTCACTGAACTCCCTGCGAACAGTAAGCAGGAAGGGGAAAGGTTTGTGTTTCTGCTTGTGGAAAACAAGGAAAGGAAAAGAAGAAATCTTCAAAGCAACCATTGGAAGCATTTACTTTATGCAGATAGTTGAGTAAAGGAAGTGAAACCCATGCTGCTCTCTATAACACTTTTCAAAGAGTGTACTTGTAAAAGTTTTACAGACTCACACAGTCTTCCCTAGTAGTCTTTGAAGTGGGGAGACGGAGAATCCTATTATCCTAACTTCTCAGTAAAGCATACCTTTCATTGTTTCCCAGTACAGCTTCTTCAGATATATATGGATGAAAGCCAAACAGCTTACAGATAAAACCGACAAAAACAAAATATCTGTTCCCATGGGATAAAGTATGATAATAACAGGTTTTTTGTTTTTTTAAAAAAAAAGAAAAGAAATATAGATGTTTAACTTCAGATCAGTATATGCTAATACCCATTATGGTTTTCCCTTCCCATATTACAACATGCAGTAACATTATACATTGCGATGTAATTATCTCAAATAATGTGGTACCCTTACCCCAACTGCTTTCAAACTTTTTTTTTAATCCTATTACCATTTCAGTATAATGAAAGCCTGCGCTCCAAAGTCTCTGATATTAAATATTTCATTTTTTCTGGTAATAGGGCCATGTCAAGAGTATAATCAGAAACAAAATAAGAATTTATAATGTTCATTCCCAACCCATCATGGAATAAAAAATATCTCTTTAATGGATCGTAAACATCATTTTCCCTCTCTAAGGGAAAACATGCTGCAAAGAGAAAAGTTAAAAATCACATTAGCTATGTGCTCGCTTTGGCAGCACATATACTAAGTCACAATAGCTAGACATTGTAAATTAAGAACAAAGCCCACAGGTAAATTTAGTTTTCCCACAGGTACATTAACGCTGCCTTGTGTATTTGTTCCCAGGTCATAGACCTGTACTGGGGCATTGATGAAGATGAATGGGACAACCCAGAGCTCCAGAAAACCCGGATGAAGCTGCTGGAGGATTGCTTGAAAACTTCTGCAGGTCCATGTTTTGTTGTGGGTATAAAAAAACTAATGCTTTATATTAAATTGTAGATGAATGTGAGAAATCTTGTTGATTTGTGATTCTTTAAGGGGATTTTAAAGTTGAGGGGGAAAATTTCTTTTTATATGTATTTATAATTTTTAAACTATCTCTTTGCCCTCAACGTGCAAGAAAAAAAACTTCTCCAGCTTTTCATAAGAAGTGCTGCAAAATAATGGTGGATAATTTGAAATAGTAATCAAAGGGATGACTTGGGTTTGACAACAATTTCTACAACACCTTGTGATCAGCAGTAAGGATTACTGTTTCGGTCCTACAGTTAATTAGCCTAGTTTTTCTTGTCCTAATGTATAATGTATTCTATCACAGTGTTTTTATTTCTTAACTTTAGAATTTCTGGCATTTTTTTTAATACAGTGAATGAAACACTGTTAAAGTAGACCCAATATACTATGTCAAATCTGCCAACAGGAAATGGTACCTTGTGAAAAAGTTTGTCTATACAATGATTTTCAGCTAGATGCTCATTATAAACTATAAATCAAAAGAGATTTTTCAAGTGGAACATTATTATTCATCATTTTTTCTTGTTTAAAATTTTATTTTATTTTTAATTGACACATAATAATTGTACATATTTATGGGGTATAGTGGGATATTTTGCTGTGCTGCTCCCTGCCCCCCAGTGCCCAGGTGACAGCTGCATTCTGCCATTCTAGCGTTCTTGCTGCCATTGTACCTGGCTTCACAGAGTCTGGGATACCACTGAGTCTCAGCACCCCAGTGTCTAGAGTCATCTATTTTGCTGTGCTGCTCCCTGCCCCCCAGTGCCCAGGTGACAGCTGCATTCTGCCATTCTAACGTTCTTGCTGCCATTGTACCTGGCTTCACAGAGTCTGGGATACCACTGAGTCTCAGCACCCCAGTGTCTAGAGTCATCGCTATGCAGTGCCACATCCCAGGGGACCTGAGAGATCATCATTATTTTGTAAAGAATACCCACTCCTCTGTGTAAGCAAAGTGGTAGTAAGATAAGAAGGTCATTCTATGGGAGGTTATTGTGCAAAATCACTGCCTTAATTTAGTGTAAGAAAGAGCCTCAAAAATTCAGGAATGAGAGAAACATTCTCCTCCTTTTATAATGCTTAGATTGTCACACCTAAACTAACTAAAATTAGTCATGGCGTTAATTCCAATAATTTGCTGGTAAGAGAAGGAGTAATTTAAAGACTTTACAAGCTTGTGCACATTCTGACAGTAAAGGTTAACTGATAGAAAATCAGTAACAACTTCATTGAACGTAAACAAATCATTTAGCCCTCCTTCTGCTTCCCTGTTAGATGTTTAAACTCAGGGCAACCAGGATGAAGTCCTGCAGATAGAGCTAGGATTATTCACCCCAGTGATTGTAAATCACACAAGGCTCATCTTACTGCTTACAGGAAAAAGTGTGTCTCTACAGCCTTTCGTGTTGTAACTATGGTAACGACAGGCATGCATGTGTCAGTTTTGCGCTCCAATTTCCTTGCCCAGTGCTCCCTTGTGATATTTCTAGAAGTCGTGATGACCCCTGTGGGATGCAAATCTTGGCATATTACTTCCCCTAATGTTAGAGTCTTTGGCAAGAAAATTCACCATTGCTGAATGAAAAACTGCTTTTATATCTTCAAAGTTTCACAGATATTAACCTTTATGTTAGACGCAAATAAATTTAAGACCAGAGGAAGCTTTCATTTTAAGTACCCAGGGAATTGAGGCCCAAAGGGAACATGGACTTAAATATTGTGTATTTGCTTGGCTCTTTTTAACTTCATTTCCCAAAAGTTGATATCTTGGATATGGCCTGAAGTCCTTCTTACATGCAGGCTGTGCTGCTAATCCTGGACACATGTTTGTATACATGTTTTTGGTCACAAAGAGGACAGGTTACTAGAGTAAGGGTACCTGGACACATGTCTGTTCCTGCTCTCAGAAGATTAACTTCTTCTGACACATATTGTAAAGAATACGTCATCTCTGCCGAGGAAGAGGGCATTTGTATACACGTGTAGAAGGAGGCAAGTACAGTGGGAAGAGCCCATCATTTTCATTTTAAAACCTGAGTGTGAGCCCTGGTTCTCACAGGTCAAGTCAGTGCTTTATCACATCCATAAAGATGGGGAAATAGTCAGAGTGAACTAAAAGTAAATTTTCAGTCACTGCAAACTTTTGTTGTGGGGACCAAATGTGATAGTGTCTGTATGAGTTTTCCCCAAAGGGAACATGGACTTAAATATTGTGTATTTGCTTGGCTCTTTTTAACTTCATTTCCCGAAAGTTGATATCTTGGATATGGCCTGAAGTCCTTCTGACATGCAGGCTGTGCTGCTAATCCTGGACACATGTTTGTATACATGTTTTTGGTCACAAAGAGGACAGGTTACTAGAGTGAGGGTACCTGGACACATGTCTGTTCCTGCTCTCAGAAGATTAACTTCTTCTGAGACATATTGTAAAGAATATGTCATCTCTGCCGAGGAAGACGGCATTTGTATACACGTGTAGAAGGAGGCAAGTACAGTGGGAAGAGCCCAACATTTTCATTTTAAAACCTGAGTGTGAGCCCTGGTTCTCACAGGTCAAGTCAGTGCTTTATCACATCCATAAAGATGGGGAAATAGTAAGAGTGAACTAAAAGTAAATTTTCAGTCACTGCAAACTTTTGTTGTGGGGACCAAATGTGATAGTGTCTGTATGAGTTTTTTGTGAACTGTGAAAGACTACAAAACCATTCGTTCTTAAACTGTGATTGAAGTTATCTTCCAATGAGAATAAAAAGTTCTATTCAGTCTGGACATTTATGCGATATTGGAAATTTTCCCCTTTAAAAATGTTGATGATAGTCTAAATGTAAAAAGTATTAAGATTTGATTCAGTCAAAAATTAAAGGGTTTTAATTCATTCTTAGCTCTACATTAATAAATTTTGTAAAATGTATACAGAATATATTACTTTGCTAGATATGAATTTACTGGAATTCACTGAATAAAGCCTTTACCTGTTCCCAAGGAGGGATTTTGACCACAGCTGCAGTTAACAGGAAGACAGCTCACAGTTGAGACCAAATTCACCGTCTGCCTCACTTTTTTTTTCTTACCTAAGAATATATTAATTAAATTAATCATTTACTTAAAGGTAGAAAATAGATTATATAAAATAATAAATGTAACGCATTTATAATAAAAAATGCATATTAACTAAATTGATTTTTTCAGGAAGAGAGCTGAGAATAATAGATGAAATGCCTTGATGGGAAGAAGTTCTAAAATAAAAACCTATATTGTAGAATATAAATATTTAAGCACCATTCTCTCTTTCTGTACTTTTGGGTTTTTTGTTTTTGTTTTTTTTCATTTCTTAGTTTAACTTATCAGTATACAATGTAGTTGATTTTCATGTCCCTTTATCCATTCCTCCTTTTCCTCCCTCACCTTTGCAAGGTTTGGAAAGTTCATCAAAATCTTCTCCACCCACCGGTCCCATCCCCTAGTCCATAAACATCCCTTTTGGAGAAAGCAGAGTCCATGTAACGCTAACTATCTGTGTTATCCTTATCCTTCTTCATAGTGAGAACTTATGGGAAGTGAGGTTTCTCTTCTTGTCCTACCCCCACGTTTGGAGTACCACAAAAGAATTTCTTGTGGAGTTGGAGCATTGACCCTGGACCCTGAGTGAAGGCCTGCCTCTTGGCAGAAGTTGAAAGAAGCGGGTGACCCATGCTCTGCTTTCTCGAAGAACTGGAGTTTGAAAAGCTTCCTTACAGCACTGGGGGATCTGCCCCCAAGTGTGTGGCAGTCCTGGAGGATGCAGACAGCATCTCACTGTAGTCCCCCATTGCTTAGTGTGGATGGTGTGCAAATGTACTGAGGGAGAAGCACTGGCAGGCCAGCCTAGGAGAGCCACACCAGGCACCAGGCATTAATAAGGGAAGCATCAGTTACCACTGATGGACACAGATGAGAAGAGATCCCCCCGTGACTTTGCATTTAGAGGCGCATTCCCATGTGTTAGAGTCGGGACAAAGGGAATGCTGCCTGAAATATGCTTTGTCAATACCCTGAACTCTCAGAGAGCCAAAGCCCATATAGCCTCCTCATTGGGGCTACCAGATCACATGCATAGAAACAGACATAATTTGTCCACGTTGGATAAACACGTAGCAGAGACCTAACAAATGGGACTCCTGCCATTGTTCTTATCTGAGTGTAAGCAGACTTCAAAGCAGACTTCCACCTCCCCCTTCCCCCAGCACACTCGCTGTCATCAGTGGCACAGATGGCAGGGACAGAGAGCAGACCATGCTCTTGACAGCCACAGGCAGCTCCTGGCAGCTGCCCTAAGACCAACATGCACAACGTGGCAAGAAAGAAGCGTAGAGATCTATTTTGAACTGGGCTTTATCTTAAACCAGAAATATGTGTATGACAACTTCAGGGACTGGGCTGTGAAATCTATTGTTATTCAGGAAGTTTAAGTTTTTCCACTAGGCAGAAGAGTCAAGACAAGACAAGCAAAGTCAGGAGCTGTTACTGGTAAAAACTAAACCATTCCGTATCTGTAAATCACTTGAGTGACACTACTCACATTTATAGCATGTAGATCAGTTCTTTATCACCCATCTCCCTACTCTTCTTGAGAGTCGAATTATTTCTCCTTGACAGTTTAGTTTCTTACTTTAAATAATTTTCAGTGAAAACCATACAGTGAGAGTTCTTAAATTAGTGGAAAGAAAGAAGTACAGTGTTTTTTAAACAGTTTAGCTTTTGGAAATATTTTATACACATTACAATATGATTAATTTATCATTTTAGGTATGCTGAACAAAATACACACACGAAAAATTTTAGAAAGTTCTTAATGTTAGTTTGCTCTTTAACTAAAAGTATATAATTTTTTGTATGATTTAGTTCTCACTTTTATAATTACAGTTTTACTAACTAAAATTTATTTTAAAATGAGAAAATAGTCATTGATTTGAACTGAAAAGTCATCTAAATTGAACAATCTAGTT